ACATATATGAATCTCTTTCGTTTGAAAATTATTATATATTTAACTTTAGGTTAATATCCGTTATTTTTTGTAATACTGATCCAGGCTCTGCTGTTCAGGGGTTAACAGTCATTGAACAAGTCTTTACTTATTCAGTTACTCCCATAGCGACTAGAACAATTAGAGCGTAAAAATAGTAGGCCCATTCTGAACGCCACTAACATCACATTAACAATTTTAAATAAAAGATTGGAGTATTATATTAAAAAATTAATTTTTGATATCATCAATCCCTTGTTCGTGAATTTTTTAAGATTTATGTCGATCAAACCTAATTATTCACTTCAATTCTGAGTAACGCTAAGAACCGAATTTAAAATAATAATTAAAAATCACAATTTAAAATGATAACTTAATATAAAAAATTTAAGTGAATATTACATTAAAAAATTAATTTTCAGAATTCTTAATCCCTCGTTAGACCTAATTATTCGGTGTTGCAATGTCAAAACCAATAAATATAATTGCAATATCATACACATAAATTAAAAATTCAAGTATACCAAAAATACCAGTCGAATTTGTCACACTTCAACTGTAAGTGAAGTAGAGTTATATGTCATGAATCATCATATCAGAAAACAACTAATATTAAATATCTGTAACACGCTCAAGGTTAGGGAAAGACCGCATTTTCACTTCTAGGGCTGTTTTATTACCACAGCAAAAAATACATAGTTAGGTTATTAACATCATTTAAACTATATTTCTGCAAAATTTCTGATTTTTTTTTTTTTTATTTTTAAGTTGCTGAATTTTTTTATCATACTACAATAATTCTTCAATAAAAGTAATTATAGGTATCGAAATAAGGATTAAGTTCAATCAATTCCACTTCAGGGCCATAGAAAAACATTTTATCCAGAATATCTCTTTAGAAATTTATATTTCTCATGTTTGATTAAATATGACACTGATAAAAAAAAAATTGGAAAGATCTTAGCAAATTTTACAAAGAACATAAAATAAAATCCAAAAATTCTTTGTAAAAAGTGGTTTCAAATTTTCAAAAATGAAATCTACTGTTACCCTTTTCCTCCAAAACCAATGAGTAATTTCAGAATCCCGATTCTAAAACAAGAATATTGAATTACGAAATAGTCACATAGTTGACATTCCGTTTGACATTATGTCATGAAGCATAAATGAGACGAGTGATATGAAAGCTTTGAATGCACGTATGTTTGCTGCATTCATTGTCTCTGAATGTGCCCTAATTAACCAATACATCGCTGTATGTACTCGGTTCTCATTCTATACGTATGGGATTGCCCACATGTATACGTCTACACGTATACACATGATTGATCTGGTTTCTTTGCCCTCACTGGACCGTATTTGTCCTCCTACGTAGGGGAGCATGGTAATTAAGAATTTACAAATTTACTAACATCACAAGATGAATGATTAAATGACCCCAGGTATGAGCACAAAATATTTTCAAAGAGAAAGTGTTATTTCTATAACATGTTATTACTATTTTTACAGAATAATCTGTTTTAACAATTTCGTTCGATTAGCTAGCTCATAATTAGTCTAAATATCTCAAATTTGAAATCAAATTTTTTTCAAAATGTTTTAATATAAAATCAAATTTGTTCTCCTCAATAAATGTTTACTCATTAACCCTCGGACAGCGGACCATGGAGAGAGCCTCAACTTTAATTTAATTTTGTATTTTATATTATTCTTATTTTCTAAACTTCACAATGTTCCTTTAAAAATTATTTCTCCAATATATGAATGTTACGAACAATAATATTATTGTAGCAGAGCATTGATATCCCAAACAGTACCGGATTAAGATTTTTGGAGCTCAGAGTTATAAAATCTTCGCAAACCCCCTGCTTGATAAACTGGGTTCAAAAATTGAAATAACATTTCATATAAAATTAGATAACAATCTTAAAGGAAAAGGACAACAATAAAAAAATTTCATTCGTTATGTTTTGACATAGTTGTTCTAAATGGAAGGTTTAGAAGGGGCTCTTTGGAAAGTGGGGTCAGGGCTCTAGCCCCCCTTAGACGTTTCATTGAATCGGGACTGATTTTAAAAGTTAAAATGAGTAATGAATTGGTCAATCAAAAATATCGTCATCAATTATTTCAGACTAACCGTAAAGAAACAATTTGCAACGTTTACGAAATATCTGCTTCAAAAGAGAACAATATTAATTAGTAACAGGCAGAAAGTATGATACTGACTATCGTTCTTCTGAATCATCTTAAACCTTGCGCTCTGACATTTCAATTCACCTTGAATATAAATGAGACAATTAATTTTCATAAAAATTCGTCGCGCCGAATATGGAGCAATAAACATTCTCCAGTTACGTGGCTCGTTAACTTAGTAAATAATGTCAAGTATAGAACTCGTTTCTCTGCAAGTTTCGCTACTCGTTAGTCACTCTTCGCGTTTTACCTTGAAGGTTCTAATGTTACGTTTTAGAACAATGAGAAGAGAGGGGGGGGGGGGGGGGGGGGGGGGGTGATATCTTAACCGACTTGTCCTATTTTTTTAAATATTTATCTTGTTTCTGAATTTCAATCTTTAAACAATCTTCTGTAATAAGTGAGATGCTAGAACCAGAGAGATGCAATTAATGAATAATGAACAATAACAATAATGATTAGTTAAATCGTTAAATAAAATGAAAAAATAAATAAAAATGTCACTTGTATTGTGTAAATGTCACACAAATGTATTGTGAATGAAAATTTATAATGTTGATAAATTTGAAAAAATGCATAGTGTTTGATCTAATTTAAGAGTATATGTATTTTTCTTATTTTTGCATAAGAAAATAACTAGAAGTTGCTGAAGATGTATTGTTCAAAAAGGAAAAAAGTTTTATTTAACAAAATTAATAAGTCGAGAAAAAACAGTTCTCGAAGATTCACATTCTATTTGCCCTCCTAAGTAAACATACCGTCTAATCATCTGAAAGTCTTGTATTGCCTTTAACAATTAAAATATTCAGTTAATAAATCCATAATTACTTCCAAAAAGTAAATATTGTAAGAAAGTAAGATTTCAATCAAGGATATTTTTTTGAAAATGTTATTTTTATATTTCTAAGCCAAATTAAAGTATTGATTTCAGTGAGGTAGATAAAAATACAGGGTGGGTTATTTCAATGGGGCAACATTATACTACAGCAGACTATGATTGTATTGATATGGACAAAGATGCGAAAAATTTTTCAAACTTTCAAACTTTCAATTAGAGGGGAATAGAGAGATAAAATTGAATATCATTTTGCACTAGCATACTTGAAAATCTATGTGAAAGTCAAATCGCTCACGTGGCAATATAACAAGAGTACACTGTACTTCAAGGGATACATGAAGTAACTTCAAAGTCATCGGTATTTTTTTTATGAAATTATTTAGATTGGTTTAATTTAAATATTCACTCCGTATGTTACATATACTCTTGTAAGTGATGAACTATTGGAAATAGGTGGTGAAACAAAAAAATAAAAATAGAAGAAAATACTTTAAATAAAACCTTTATTTAAGCACGTGGAAGGACACGTCCGTACAGCTCGAAAGAAACAGTCAGACAACAAACAGGTCAGTGACGAAGAATTCGTCACGTACCCATAGACTCTATCGGTCCTATTCGTTGTCTAAATAAGCCAAGAAGGGACACAGCTGCACCCTCTTGACTTGTGCCTCGAAAAAGAAACTTAATACGTACGTCGATGGTTTTTGTAAAAGAATGAAAAACTTTCTCTTCTTAAAAGAGAAAAACCAACATGAACAATTTCAATTTTTAAATCCATTTGCATTCTCAAAGTAAAATGAAATTTTGTTTGTATCTAATAAAATACTTTATTAATGAAAAAAATTAAAGGATTTCACATGTTACTAATTAAATTTGCCTCTTGTTTTCTAGGAAATATTTTCATTGAACTTACTCTGTTAAATACTATTCAATACGAAATTGCTTGGGTTTTACTACAAACCACAGAGTTATCCATATAGAATACCGCAAAGTAGTCAACTTCATTGTATTGATTGAATGTCTATAGAAGGAAAGTCATTGCAAGTCACCTAGATTTAACATCAACATTATAATATAACGTTTCAACCTAAAAATCACAATACCTATATTAATTTTAACAGTGCACTCATCTGTTATCTGATTCTAAAAATACATTGTTCAACAGTTATCTGAACTTATAACATTCAATAACGGTTTTTTAAAAGTTTTCATATGCTGAATATTAATCCACAAACTGTTTCCCGCAAAAACCTAATTGTTGCAAATATTTTTCAAATTATTTCAAAATCTAGAAGTCTAAGACAAAATCTAAATATAGCATACAATAGAGCAGACATTTTTCTCCAAAATTGTCTTTTTTAAATAAAAATTTTGTTTTTCAAAAATTTGAAAACAATATACCTACATTTGATATTTTTTTGGTTTTCTAATACATAAACTTGGCAAAAATTGTTAACTTGTTGTCAATCATTGGCGTAACTAGGAAGGGGCTATAACATTCCTTAAATCTGAAATCGCGCCTTCAAAACTTTGACTAGCTCCTTAAGATTTCGAAATTCTAATTGTAAGATACTAAAATTCTTAAATCGTAAAATTCTAAAATTCACAATACTTTACATTGTAAATAAAGCTAGAGGCCTGCCCCTTCCCCAAATAAATCCTAGTTATGCCAATGCCGTCGACATTTAAGTTACTACCTGCCGCGGTTTAAAACTTTTTCAAGTTCAAGGCTCTTATATGTTAATTTGCAACTGCTAATGGACAAACATACAATTTAGAAAAGTAACGTAATAATATTTACATATTACCGAAGATACGAGTGTTAAAATGACTTTAACATCTCCTATGGTCTCTCATGAGTCAGTGGAATACTAATTGTTTAAATGAATAAGAACGTAAATAAAGGAGATTTTTGCAAGGAAGTGTAAATGGAATGTAATTTTCATTGCAGATTCTGCGAGGAGATCTAACGAACGAACGGTGAGATGACTCGAAGGAGAAGAGTGGCTTTCGGGTTAAGAGTATGCACAGGTAAGAATACATTATAAACCTGCATGTATCGATCGATTTGCATAATTCACTGGCTAATAAATGTATAATGCGCATCCGTGAAATAGCACGAAGGTCGAGGTGACTAACGATTCACATCTAACTCGATTTATAAATGTTGGTTTCTTTTTCCTGGCATTTTCTTCGCTACATCAAGGAATATTATGAAATACCCAATAAACTTAAAATTGATTTATTAATTAAAGAAGACACATTACTCGTTCATTGGATATGTTATATTCAAATTATTCAAATTCTTATAAGACGCCAAAGATACTGTGGGGGTTATAAGCGGAGTATGGCGCCCCAGATGCCCTTGGGCCTTTTTCCCGTGATGGCCGCAAGATATCGCGAGTATAATCCATCCTGTGACGACGCGAGCATACGAAGCGCCATCTACAAAAAAGAAAAGTTCCTAGACACGTGCAAAATCACAGCCGACTCTAGTACTAGCCATGCTGAATTAACGTCTTTTTTAATTAAAAGCTGTAGTAATATACACTATTTTGTGTTAATTATGTATAAACAATATATAAACGTTGCAACTATGGCAAATAGAAGTGATGTGGTAGTATAAAATTCTTATAAATGTGATATATATTTTGTGTACTCTCAAAGTAGTTTGGTGTTGTGAAGCATGATATTTGAAATATTTACAGTGGTTTCAAGAAAATTTAGGTATGAAGCAAAATGAAACCATCTTTGGATCAAATTGAAACATTTAAGAATTGATGAACGTGTATATAAGTTAATAAAAACCTTGAAACAAGCGAAATTATTGGAACGAAACCAAAGAGGTTATGTGAAGTCCAGAGAGTAGTCGGGAGTCTGACGATGTTGATTGGCTGAGAGTCTGGGATTCCGGGAGACAGATAGAGCAGGATAGGTGTTGATATATTCAGACCGGACTCCCGCGGTGTTGCCATTTTTACTTCAGCACGGCTAGTACTAGAGTCGGCTGTGGCAAAATTTAGTCGTTAGTCTTTTGAGAAGCAGTTAGAGAGAACAAAGCGCACGTGAAGCAGAGAGTGAGAATAAAGTTTAATTCAAAAGTAATACACGTTTTTGCTTGTGCTCCCCTTTAAAAGATCGCCCACAATCCTTTCTTGCAAGCGCTCCATTACGGGCCTGGTCGATATATATATATATATATATATATATATATATAACATCTGAGAATACAGGGTCTATCATTTATCTTGGAACCCGTGCGCGCGCGAACTCGTGAATTTGGCAACAGGTGCTAAAATTCAATAGATGCGCCCTCTGCAAATCATTGCTGAAAGTATAATGTCATGTAGAGAGCTGTGGGGAGCGATGTAAAAATCCCTAGAGTTAAGTTGGTAATCGACCGAACTCTGGTCCGAGATTCGATTCGGGATACGAGCATGCACGACAAGCAGTAGAACTTCGAGTCGGCTCGGCTCCGCAAAACTCGGGCGCGATCGGCAGAGAAACAAACATACTCGTATTCCGAATCGAATCTCGGACCAGAGTATTGCGCACGAGGTCCGAGATAAATGATAGACCCTGTATAGTATCCGGGGGTCTCGGGCAGGAACCGTTCACGTCAGCCCCACTGACAAGTTCTAGTGGATGGTTTCCGAGGCGAAACGCCATAATTTTACCGCCTCCATCCTACAATATTGCTACTGTTGTTTTCATATAAGTTGGAGTGGGGTAAATTCGCAAACAGGGCAAGTGTATTTACCGGTTATTTTTATTATAATATGAGCGAAATTTCCCTAGCTGATATATAGTAATAGACCTTTTTTTGGATGAAGTTCCGAATACGACCGGTCAACGATCAAGATGAAATTTTGATGGGGAGGGGGGAGGGGGGAGGGGACCCCAAATATAAAGTGGTATCTTCGGCTTCCTATTAGTTTCCAAGATTTTAATTAAAAACTTTCGTACAATACATAGAATTTTTCCTATACAGACGTAACTAATACAACTCTAGTTTTGTTATATGGCTCATTGCAGCAGTTCCCCATAATGGTATTCCATAGGTCCATATTGGTTTTATGATTGTTTTATAAATTTTTAGTTTTTTTTCTATGCTGAGTTTGGATTTCTAGCTAGTTAACCAATGCATTTGTCGTCTTTTAATTCGTATGTTGTCTGTTATTGCTTTGATGTGATGCTTCCATGTAAGTCTTGAGTCCAAGTGGAAACCTAAATATTTTACTCGTTTTGTTTGAGGGATAACCATGTTATTTAGTTTGATATCCGGTGATTTTTCCTTGCAGAGTGTGAATGTGATGCGGTTACATTTGTTGGAATTTGCTTTTATTTTTTTCTCCGTAAGCCATTTTTCTGTTTTTGTAATATGTTCTTGTTATAGCGATATCATCAGTAAATAGATAACATTAAAATTAAAAATTAGGGTGGGGGATAGTTAACTCGCCTATTAGAAATTTAAAAACTTTAAAATATTTTCGAAAATATCAGGAAACGCTGTAAAGAATAAACTAATGCAAAGAAAATTAGACTTGATATCATCACAATTCTAATAACGTATAACAAAATTCTGTTAACCCTTTTATCGGACAATTATGATTATGCCATTGCTCTATTTAGTATGCTTGTATATTGAGTCCGGGTTACCTGGAAAAATATTCGAGCAATAGCTTTAAGTATTTCTGATGCACATTTGTATCGGAACGTGCATCGAAATAGATGTTGCATCCTATTGCATCGCGGAACAGTGATGCAAAAGGTTAGCAATCGAGGCGACCGGATCGCTTGAACTGTGCAGGTACAAAATACTGTTAGGATTACCGCACCGTGTCAGACTGCAACTTAACTGTAACACTTGCCTTGACAATATAAATGTACCGTTTCTCCGAACGAATGCTGTGCCGATCGATACTTCCAATTCTCTTTCTGCTTCTGCTAATTTCTACCATATTTTTCCCTTACGTTTCGTTTCTTTTTATGTTTGCGGTTTCAGAATGTCGTATCCAGGAAAAGTCGAAATTGAATTTTCTGCGAATCCTGTAACGAAATCCTATTAACGAAATACCGTAAAAACTAATAAATTTCATTAGTTAATTCGTTTATAATAAACCAGTCAATTTTATGCATTTATTTTATTTATAGGTGTCATGGGAATAGGTAATTAATTTTTTGACGATTTTAAGTTTACGATAGAATTTCAGTAATTTCATTAAGCATTTATTTATTAAATTTAGATTTTTAATTTTATAGTTTATATATTATATTCAATTCAATTTTATTAATCTTAATAAATTCAATACGTTTTCAATCTATTTAAAACTTAAATTCAAATTTAAATCTAATCAATTTAATGTAGAAAATTTATTATAATCATATTGAATTTTAAAAAGGATTAGAAAATTTCTATTTTACTATCATTTATTTGACGTTTTCATTATCTATTATAAATTTTATAATTAAAAAATAAGCAGAAACACAAAAATCTATCAGATTCATTTTTCTTTGCTATTCGTTAACAATAAAATGATGAAGAAGTTGTTTCTTTGAATTATTCATTTCGTCGTCGATCATTATAACAAATTGTAGCACCGAAATCGAAAGTTTCCTTTAAAGTAAATTTTCCAACCGAATTCACATTATTACCGGATGATCCGTTCCGAACTAATGACTTCACGAAGAATGCAAAACGAGAATTGAATCGATCAAGGAATTAGAAAGTGAAATTCTTTCCTTGATATGCTATGAGTAACTTGATTTAATACCCGCTTCAAGACTGCTTCTGATTTATTGAAAAATTCATTGAGTCATATGAATGAATTTTAATGTGTACAACTCATCGCAAAACTGAATATACATATATGTACAGTACCGAGCATGATACACTTCTCTAGGCAAAATAGCGCTCTAGACGAAAAATTTGAAGTTTGAAATGTTTCGAAACCTATTATATTAACTTTTCCTAAATTAATCTTAATATGAATATCTTTAAGATTAGAATTTTGATAAGACCTCTTCATACTCCATTGGAAAAATCTCCATTTTCTCTGCGATGCCTATTATGCTAGGTACTGTATAATAATAAGACTTCTTACTTGTTCAATAAATATAAAAGAAACAGCTTTTTATACAATACAATATGCATTTTCAATAAATGGTAATGTATTGAATAAAAATGTTGACATTTTATGAGATAACTTCTGATACAAAATGTCGCAAAATGAATATTTAAACATTGAACTGAAAGCGTCTACTAAATCTACATATCTGGATTCCAAAACTAAAGTGTATTAAGTTCACTTTTTTGAAAAAATGCCATTTTACGTGTATCTTGTATCAAATTTTCCGCTCTTCCAGATGATAAAAATTATTTCATTATAAGTCGTTTAGTTGAATGAATGAATGAAAGTTTATTGGCTTCCCTCTCGGGATTGCAAGGCGCTTTTTTGTTTACAAGGAGCGTTCCCCTACCTTGTTTACAACGACTTTCTTGCTTCATGCATAATACAAAATAATAATATAAAATAAAATAAAATAAAATAAACCAGAATACTTATTGCTAAAACAAAATCAACTGCCATAAACAATATAAAAAACAAAATATACTGACTGTTGCTCTTAACCTTAAACATCCTAATCCAAAACCAAAACAAATTCGCAATCAGCGTCTAACTCAAAAATTGCCCTTGTATCAACTTACAATTATAGGACTAATAATAAAAATTAAATACATAATAAAAATATATATAAAAATAAAAATAATAAATAAAGATAATGGAATTTTTCTTAAATTTGCTCTACATTTAGCTATTGCTTTGTTTTCAGCCTTATATCCTCCTATAATTCTTTGCCTTATCAATAAACGTAGCCATCTAACAAACTAAACTTGACCTTCCTTATTATTCATTTAAAATTGTTAAACTTAAATGTTTTTGTACTTGATTCACTTCTCATTCTTCCCTCCTGAGCTTGGCACTGGTCTTTCTCTCTCCTCTCTTGTCTTTTTGCCCTTGCTCGCTTTA